AAAGAAGCCACATCAAGAATATATCTATATTCCTTCACAAATGCGCCAACTGAGAGTGGCAAATTGACTAGTCTGTGCACTAACGAATGAAACGCAGCATGTTTGTGTTGAATTGGACAAAATGAGTCGCTTGTAATGACTCTCTTTGTCGATGTCGGCTTATGAAACACACCAACATCAATTTTATTTTGCCGATTTGCGTTTGCCAAACATGTAGTAGAGAGTGAGCACGGAAGCGATGAAAGTGACCATAGCATCGAACTGATTAAGAATGTCAATAGACAGAGCAGGCTCGATGCGTATGAGAGTTATTACATCGAGAGAGAGACAGCACCATTGAATGCGGAAAGCGGGAACATACAGTCCTGCTTATTTGCATTGATTTGATGCGGCGAATATTTTGTTGTTGCTGAGTCAGCTGTTTTTGCGGTGTGTTGTTTTTTTCAGTGCCGTAACCAGACTCAAATTGCAGAGCATGCTGCGCATCCGAATTCATATTTTTGCTCTGGTGTGCAATAATAATACATGCTATATGCCACATTAAAATCCAAAGGTGATTTCTATGTTTTTGTCAAGTTTGTTCGGTTTATCGTTGAGTCACACCATGTTTACATATTGCATTCTCCGGCTCCAGTCTGAGCAGACTATGAGTCAATGTTTTCGCTTGTGTTTTGAATATTTGTGACAAAACAGGCACATGTATGTTCTTTCTACTTTATTCGCGACAACGTTCTGTTTGTGTAGTAACACAAATAATAATCAGTAGCGAATGTTTATATAAACATAAATTGATTTGCAATTTGCGGAGAAATATTTTTCTGCCAAATAATCATATTTCACTCTAAAGAACAATTAAAAGCAAATTCATGACAGCACTGCAAATGGATCTGTATTGGTTGCGGCAATCGATGCGACCAAATTAAACGAAGCGTCGTTTGAATGACATAACTTGATTAAATGCAAAGTACAGTTAAGTGCAGTCAGTTCACTAGCAGCATTCGATCAATATACACAAATCCCAAATTCATGTGAATAGTCATTTAACTCAAAAAAAATGAGCAGAAGAAGAGATGAGGAGGCAAGTGATTCTAATTTGCCGCCGGGGAAATTTCCAAAGAACAAATCAATGGCTCAACAGAAAAGTCTGGATAGTTTTTTTACCCGACCAAACCGTATGTTGTTTATTTTGAAGCCGACAATCGTGCAACGCTGAAATTTCTTTGGAATTTATGGGAAATAAAACACACATTTTTATTGTAGAGCCCACTTCCACGTTAGGCGCAAGTTCAAGTTCATTAGTCGAAACATCAGCTACTACAGTATCGAAGGATGATATGAATGTATCGGTGAATGTATCAGAAGCGTCGAAAGTTGATTTGAACCCCATTGAAGGTATTATTTTAATGAAATGAAATTGTTTCATACCGAATTTTGTGTGCATTAATTCATTGTAGAAAAAACAACAAACACGGCGCCTGATGACATAACACCAATCGGACAAGAAATGAAATTGAATGAACAAATCCAAAAGTTGAAAACAGTGAAATTTCCAAAGACTGCCACTGAAAAAGATAAACGCTCCTTTCAATTGCAATGGATTAACAGATATAATTGGATTGAATACTCGATAAGCCGTGATGCTATATTTTGCTTCATTTGTCGACAATTTGGTGAGCATTCACAAGAGCAAACATTCACAACGATCGGTTTTAATAAATGGAGAACAGCTCTATCCGATGGCAAAGGTCTTGTTAGACACAATGCATCGGCCGGTCACATGACAGCAACTGCACGATATGCTGAAAAGTTGATACGCACAGAAATGGGCAAATCGGTTTCGGAACTTTTGAATCCCTCGGTTTTAGAAAAACGTCACTATTACGTTAGATCGATTGTTGAGATAATTGTATTCTTAGTTTCAAACCGTTTGGCGTTACGAGCTAGGGGGATTTAACTACGTGAAAACTTGTAAAAAAATGATATAAACGCGCACGAAATTGTTTCATTCACCAGAGAACTTGCATGATTCCACTCAGTTGACAAGTTCCGT